TGCCGAAAATTGAAACGTGTATGAATTATTGGTATTTATGTGTAAGACTTTGGTTATGTGTTGATAAGAATCTTGGATCCATTGTAGGAAGAAGATATTCTGCAAAGTTGAGCCAAGTGAAATGAAAAGTCTAGATAGAGAATAGTGAGTTTAGTTTAAGATGTGAGAAGTAAATATACGTGTATATGTGCGTACGCAAGTATGTGTGTATATCTCCCTCTCTCTCTCTCTCTCTCTCTTTCTGTCTCTCTCTCTAGATATATAGAAGTGTGGCCAATACTGGCAATAAGTTGTATTACGGCCAATTGTCAGAATTTGACAGATGTAGGAAGTGGAGTGAATTCGATGATAGGCTTTTATGTTATTGTTATTTTTGCTGTTATCTAGTCTTTAACTTGTCTCTGTTTCGTCTGTGCTTTATGTCAAGTTTTACATTTGTGGAATGTGATAATTATCCCAATATGGATATAGATGGTCCTTTGCTGTTTAACTAATATAGGTATTAGTTCACTATATGCACAAGGTGATATTATTTCTCTTACATAATCTGATTCCCTCTTTATTACATGGTGTTCTTTGGATTATGTGTCATAATGCTGAAAGGAAGAAAGAGCTCTTCAGCTAAATAGTTGGTTTCTGATCACAGGAAAAAAAAATTCTCAACTCCTTGATTCAGTTACGCGCCACAATTTTCAGAGCACTGCTTATCTAAAAGATAATTGTTCAGAAATCAAGTACTGGGAGTTGTCTCATTTAGATGTATCTTACAGTTTGTGATTAGTTGTATTGTCTAGTAAAATTAATTTTGAAATTTGTGCATTTTAGTGGGTGAAACAGATCCAGAAATTTGGTGATTGTAACCTTGCTGGCGTCGTATTCTTTGTGACTGTTCCCAGATGGAAAAAAAATTCTTCTTGATTTGGAAGGAACAGAGAAGAATGGGCTGCCTACAGTAACTGACAATTGAAAATGGATGATAGTTGTCCTTCAATTTCCAGTGTATGTCCTCTAGTGGCCTTAGATTATAATTTTTTATTTTTTAAGTTCCTTAGGAAGTCAATGGATCAGAACTTGGGCCAAATACAGATCTCTTAATGGCATGATTTTGGGTTGTTTCTGAAGGAGGTCACAATCATTGCTTGACGCAGGGAAGATTTTGATAATCTACCTATGTGGTTTTTTGGTGGCAGTAAATCAAGAAAAACCGACTCTTCATATTGCATATAGGGAGGAAAGAATTATGATTAATAGGAGCATCTAAAGCAGAAAATAAGAGTTAGAGTAGAATGTAGGATTTAGCAGACAATTATTATTGTCCAGAGAAACAAGAGGACTTAGGGGAGTGCATTCCTTCTTCTCCAACTGGAGGTCTTTTGGTTCGAGACCTTCTATTTCTTGTTCAAGGATCATCCTCCCCTTCGGAGGAAGATGTAGATGACTTTTAGACTTGTAATCCTTACTTTTACCATTGGTGGCACTGCCTTGGTATTGTACTTACTTTTCTTGTCAAGAAAGACAATGTGATAGAAAGGGGAAAACAGCAGTCATAACTGTTTTCATAATCAAACGAGGTTAGGTTATCAAATTTCTCTTCCAACCGGTAAAACTCAAAACATTCATTTATCTTTCTAGATTTTACATCTAAAACAAGAAGCTACCGTTTAGTAGAAGCCTCTGGAGAATACGAGAGTAGGAGAAACTATCATTTATCTTTGAGTATTGCAGAATTTGCATATCCGTCGTCCCTGCAGAAATTCTTGTACTTTTCAAGTTTAAGACCCTATTAACTATGCTTGTTTTCTATGGTTTTACCATTAGTAGCAAGAGATATTCAACCATCCAAAATTTTGGAAGTATTGATGCTCACTCAAAAACATATTCCCTCAACTTCTGTCTGTAAAACTATTTAATGTCTAGTTAATTCATCTTTAGTGTTTTTGGGATTTTAACAAGGAAATGTAATTGGGCTCTGGAAACACCGAGATTTTGGAGTTCTATTTGTTTTTGCTCATATCTAGTTAAGATCCTAATAAATCACCATCCACAATTTTTTGTCTTCTATTGCATGGGTTTTGTCTGGTTTTGAAAAACCACAATGTAAACTTTCTCTGTTTGGCTTTTTACAGTTTTGAAAATCTCTTGCAAATTTCCAAATCAATTGGTACGATAAAATTTTTAATTTTCATGAAAAAGATATCATTGAATTTCTGCATTCTAAAGATTTTCTTATCCCATTGTTTATGAAATAGAAGATTTAAAATATTAGGAAGAGAAGAGGATCCTAAAGGATTCCAAAATCTTTGGTTTCTTTGATTTAATGGGGATTAGGTTGTATTAGAACTGAAGTAAAAATTATTAATAAATAGTAGCTAGGTGACTTTGGTGCTCTGTGAAGGGTCCTTGATGTGGGTGTTTGAAGTAAGGGATTTTTAACAAAACATGATTCTTGGAAGTTTAGAGATTTATTGGGAATGAATTGTAGAAAATACAGCATTTCTACGAATCAAAACATTTTGAGATTAATGATGAGACCATTCGCTTGTGTAGAGAGTTGTTTACAGGAACATGATAACTCATTTATCAAAAAATAAAAAATAAAAAATTCCCCTGTTTCTTTATACGAGAATGGAAAATTTACAATATGAGGACCAGATGTGCGTTTGCTAAGCTGGTTGAAGAGAAACCTGGTCCTAATTATGCAATGTCTTCTTAGTGTAATGATTTTCCGACATTAGTTCTTCTGTTACTTGAAATTTCATCTTCTTGCTCTAGGATTGAGATTAGCATGTGATATCTTTTGTTTGTCCAGAAAATTTGTAGGGTCACATTCTATTTTAACCAAAAAATTGTCTAATTAATTTATGATCATTTTCTCAGCTAGATAATCAAACCTTGATCATATGCTTGGTCGGGATGGCATTATTTAGGTCTTAAAGTGTGGTTATGGTGCTGAAGCAGCATGATAAATTGGGGACTTCCATTTGTTGAACAGATATGACATTTCACAGCGATTTGTCATGCATTAGTTGGACAGTTTCTGGCATGGTAGAACATATTGATGCAAAAATTTGTGCGGTGTGTGACTCATCTGTCCAAGTTTAGCTTATCGTTTATTGTATTGTCAATATCATTCCATAATATAGTCATCAACTTGAAATTGATGCCATTCTTTACTATAATTGTAATTTTAAATTGACAGTAAGTAGTTTTTTGTTTAATGAATAAACAAAACATCATTTTGCTGGATTCCATGCACACTTCTAGAATGATTATGCGGGTAAATAAGCCATGAAATGTTTGTCTGGACTGCACCTTATATTTGTTAGTGTAGTGGTATTAAACTTTGTCATTGATAGCTTAAATCGATTCCTGAATTGAACATTTTGGTTTTATATGATCATGAGGGTGGTCCCGAGAAATTCTTTCTCCAAAATGAAGATATGAAATTTCTGGCAGGAATAGTTATGGTAGTACAGAATGGAACGGAAGTTGTGATACTGGGGACCTTTTGGGTTCTTTTCCGAGTTCAGTGATGATACAGTAAGCTTGGTGCTGATGATGCTAAGAACAGTTATGATAACAGTCTTAATGATTTTGAAGGTCCCAGTACATATGTCATAGCAACAGTTGCTAAGATGAAAGTGAATGTTCATAATGTTTATTTTATGTTTTGTGGCAGTGGTTGTGATGATTCTGTGATGTAGGCAAGTAGCATTAAAGTAAAAATAATTCAATTATGTTCATGTTATGGGAGTTTAAATTTAGTGACATCTTGTACTTGATCTTAGCTTAAAGTTGGCAATTATTTATGAAGCATCTTGGTGTAAACAATTCTTTTATCACATTTACCATGTCGTGTAGAGGCACGTTATTTAGAATTGGTCTTCATGTTTATGCTGTGTATTGAAACTCCACACATGGAAGCTCTATCAGCTTTGTCGCCTGTTCTCAATTTTTCCCATGTTTGGGAGTTGTTCTATACACCATCAAATTTTATGTGGTGACTAAAATCTGTTTATTTTGAACCTTCCACGCGGCTGTTGTTTGATTGTTATGGGGACTTATTATATTTCCCTTTTGCAAAATACTTCTATAATTTGGGAGGAAGTTAAGCTTGAAACATCTTTTTGAGAATTCAATTTAACTTGTTGGATAATTTGTTATTATGGTAAATCAGTTTATATAATCTCACACGATCAAGATTTGTTTGTAGACCTGATGGTTTACTCCGAATGTTGGTTTAATTTTATTTCATTTTCTGCAACTTGGAACGTCAGCACCTGAGTCATTTTCTTGAACACAAGGATTGAGTCTTTAATATTTCTGAATTTTGTTGTCATTCTCTCCAAGTTTCTTTCTATCTGTTTGGACATGTTTTCTCTAGTCATCTTCAGATTGTCTTCCAGCATATTCTTTTCTCATATTTTCGACCACGTTTGCTGCATCTAAGATTTGCTTTCTATCGTGTTTTACCAGACTTATATTACCATTGCTTTGGAAAGTAACTCCGTGGTCTCTTTCTGATTCTTACAGAAAAACTGGTTGGAAAAATCCGGACAAAAAGGAAGGAGCCAAGTACTTTTTGGGCGTCCTCTGTTTTCATGTTAACCCCACAGTAGTACCCTCAATTATAAGTCGATTGGGCCCGTCAATAACAAATATCACATTATGGGGCCACCGGCAAAGCTACAATGGCTTCAAAAATTCCGAAGAAAAATAGATAGCTGTTAGCGTCATTTCTGGTATGCTCTTCTCTCTTACGGGTCCCTGTTATTTCAGTAGACATTTACAATACATGTAATATGCTCTTTTCAAAGTGCTTTGAAGCTTTGAGACAGCGCACCCTCCAGCCAAGGGCACCTTTTGTTCTCATCTGAACCAATCGCACCATGGACACTTGGTGCCTTTCAGACCACCGACTCTGAACCCCACGTCACGTGAAACAATGTGCATGATTAATGCATAGATGGAAACGTGGCATACGTTCGTTTGCTCATTGATTGATTACAAAATATTTTGCCATTAATGCTCTTGCTTAGTAGTACAAAGTCACAATTATAACACCTAGGCCAAAACGATGGAGTAACTAGGATGAACTGGGAAGAAAAAAATTCCCCCTGAACTCTCTTTCTAACCCCATTACATTTAAATTTTCTCCTATACTAAGAGGAGCTTTTTTTCTCATTCTATTTTTGGGGTTTTCTTGGTCTAGGGAATCATGAAGGAAATAGCTCTTTAATTTGAGGATACAAAATCTTGTATCAGACAGCTGGATTCTTTCCAAAATTGGGCTAGGAGACCCTGTTGAGGGACAGGGAACGGGCCATATTGGATCCCATACTGAGAGCCCACCATTTCCCATCTGCAAAAAAGAAATCACAACAAAAAAAGCTATTCCTGGTCAAGAATCGCCTTATATGCAGCTCTGTAGAGATAATATCCTCTGATCTTGTCAGTAAAATGTAAATGAAAAAACGATATATACCTGAATTTGGTGAACAAATGGTGGATCAAAATGAGCATCTCCAGCTTGGCAAGCTCATTACCAGGGCAGGCATGAACGCCGTTGCCAAATGGCATAAAGGTATTGGGCTTGGGAGGTACCTGCTTTCACCAAAAACCACAGTCAGTAAATTTATTAACACTGGTGACAGTGAATCTCGGTGTTTTTGAAGGCGTAGTCAATATTCCATCTTTAATAGCTAAAATTAATAGAAAGTAGAATAATTATTATAGTATTGAGCACCTTGAATCTAGACGGGTCAAACTTTTGAGGATCGGAGAAGAATTCTGGACTGTGATGAATATTCCGGAAGAGTGGCATCACTTTCCAGCCCTTAGGTATTAAGTATCCTGTACATTTTGGGGGACATTTAAGGATTATAAGAACGAAAAGCCTCTTAGATGTTGGTAACGTAAAAAAGACTGACTCGTTTGAAGCCTTTACCTTTGTATTCTACATCAACCACTGCTTCCCTAAATGTGAAGGAAATGATGCTTGCCATCCTCAAGCTCTCCATTATAACCTGAAAGTACGATCACATCCAGTTGATCAGAAACTATCTCTCTATAGAAGTTGCTTGACAAAGGACACTTGATGAGTTGTACATGTTATATACCTTATTTGTAAGTGGCATATTCCTTGTCTGTGCCCATGACAATGGCTTTCTTCCTCTGTCGTTTGATTCATATATGGCCTTTTGTTCTGCCTGTAGTATAAAAATATCCATTTTCAGTTCAGAACAACTTGATCATTGAATGTTATATGCCTATATTATTGATCTAACATGAAAACATATTACCTTAACGGCTTCTAGAAGCTTTTGGTCATCATTTAGGTACTTGATAATCCATGTTAAAACACTAGCTGTTGTGTCCTGAGCAGCAAAAAGAACTCCAATGATGTTATCAGCAATCTGATCATCTGATAAAATTTTCCCCCCTTCATCTTGAAAGCTCAACAAATGATCCAAAAGATCACTCTCTACCAGCCTTTTCTCCTTCCTCCCTCTTATGATCTCAGTTAGAATCTGATTAAGTCTTCTTCTTGCCTGTATATTTCAGAAATTTTACCGGAAACAACAAGGTAATAAACAAAATGGACTGATTCAAATGCCTCAAATCATAAATTTCTAAGAACAAAATAAAGCAATAAAGGAAACTTACCAAGAGTGCTTTGTGATATGAAGTTCCTGGAATATTCGTAGGGAAAGAATTGTACCCTTTATCTACTATTTGGTAGTTCTCTTTCAGCTTCTCTCTATAGGTGCTATCCAAATGACCAAAGATTGAGAGAATTCCAACATCAAAAGAGAACTGTGGAAGTTAAAGGAAAACCACATATTAGTAAAAAAAATCGTTACCTCTAACAAAAAGTGGAGGACCCATGAAGAACAAACTTGTTCCCTTTTATCATTAAAAAATTAAAATGAGCAGACAATAGCTACGAAGGCCATCAATAAAAACAAAATCTGAGACACTCAATATAATAAGAGTGGAGGAATAGGACAATAAAGTAACAAACTGAGTTTGATTAAATGGCAATACTTCTATAAGCCAAAACAACTTATTAGCAACGTGATCTTCACATTACAAATATGTCTGCAAACTTATAGCCTAATTATAAGCTTTATATATAACATCTCTAGCTCCTAATACAAACCTTCTTCATCTCATGAAAGGTGGAAATGACTAGGCCTCCGGCCAATGAATCCAAGGCAGAAATAGCTATGGCTTCAATGTCGGGTATTAGTTTTCGTATTCTTTCTGGGGATAATGAACTTTGAACCAGCTTCCTTAGCCGAGTGTGGTAGTCACCTTGGTGAAAAAATAGCGCAGAAGGGCCAATCATTTTCTCTTTGCTTTTTGGATATGTGGGCTTGAACAAATGAGCATGAGTCACCAGCACGAACTTTGCAGCCTCAGGGCTAGCCAGCATGATACAGGGGCACCCGAGTATGTGGGTTTTGAATATTTCACCATATCTGAAGAAACAATCAAATTAAAAAACAAAATTTGGAATTTTTAAGTTCCTATCCATGTAAAGACGAATTTAACAGTTAAAACATTCTGTTAGTGTTAGGGACCTGTTTTGCTTTGTGACAAAGAAGACATTAGGGTCCTGAGAGTAAAGCTGAAGTGTTTCTCCTACATAAGGCCACCCCATTGAACCAGGAGGAAGCTTAGCTCCTCCTCTGTGTTCTTCTCTTCGCTTCCTTATGAAGAAATATGAGAGAAAAATACAGAGCAAGAGGATAGCATACAGCCCAATAGAAATATTATTCTCCATACAAATGCAGCCTCTCACCATTCTTTCCTTCCCCTTCCTTCTCTCTCTCTCCCTCTCTCTTTCTTTCTCTCTCTCTCTCTCTGACGCTCACTCTATTATATGAGTTTTTGTGTTCAATGCTCTTGATCTTGATGAGTAAAGGACTAGTTGATATGAGGAATAATGGCTATAATTATGAAGATCAAGAGATCAGTATGCGTGGGGCTTGAGGCCAGGTAGGGGTTTATATAGAGAGTGGTAGAGAGATCAAACGGATAGAAACAAATATAGGTTTGAGAATAATATACATAATGTTATACTTCGAGTCTCGACAAATGAAGTATATAGGCAACTTAACTTGGGCTTTCTTTAGATTCGTATATATCCCTATTTGACATTAAATGGAATTGAAAATATTACGGTTCGTTTATACGTATACATCTAAAATGGGTTGCTGTAGAAAAAGAAAAGAAGGTGGAAAGATACTACTAGAAATTACTTGTGCCATATGCATGACCGAAAACACTAGGCTTGATTTATTTATTTATATGTATTATCAAGAAGAGCTTTCAGCTTTTAATGTCTTTGGTGACTTGGTCGGTAATGAATTCTCAATTGTCAGCGTATTAAATTTGTCATGTTCATTTGTCCTAGTTAAATTAAGCTCACTTTTGCTTATAATTCTCAGTTCACGCCTAACTAATTCCCATTCTTAGTTTTTGTAGTAGTTCTGTTGTGCATATTTACACAATAGTTTTTCATGTTTGAGATATTACCACCCCTCATCTCCAATTCAATTCTTCTCACAATCAAAGATCACTCTCCGGTTCTTCACTCAGTCCCCAAGCTCTTGCATCTCTTGTATGTTGTAGTACATATTGTAGCAAACTAATAATACTTATCATACCGTTCTAAATAATGATATAATAAAAAACAATTTATATAAATTAGTTATCAATATCGATCAATTCTTAACTTGAAGATTAATATTATATTTTTACATCGGGGAGCATATTAGAATGTAATACATCTAATAATTAATTTAATTATTTGCTAATTTAAAGTGTTTAAAATAATTACAAAGATGAAAAATCAACCATGTTAAAATTTAGTTTTTATAGGGGTCTGTTTAAGAATAGTTGGACAAATAGGGAGTGTTGGGAAAAATGGAAAGCTAAGTCTAAATGTTTGTTAGATGAGCTTCCTAAAGCAAGATTAGTATTTAATCAAGTATATTTATTTTATAATATACAAAACTTGATATGCTCAATTAAAGATTTTTTGCCAATTTAAAAATTCAACTCCAACTACAGTTATTTCATATTACATACATTGATAATCAAACAAAAGTCAATTAAACATCCCAAAATCAAGATCTGACACAGCAGTGTATATTATAATTCATGGCAGTGTTATTGATCCAAAAGTATAAAAACCAAGCTTTATGAACAACTTTATGAACATAATCCATGTTGATTAAAGGCATGTGCAAGAGATATTTAGGGTTTTAGATCATATGTTTCTGCTCGATATAAACGTTTTAATCTAACTGGATAAACAATTCTAGTCAGCCAGAGCGAACCAAATCTGGTCTAACTTTGTAGGCCCGGTACTTCTCTTCCCACTAGGATTTGACTTTGATGAGTTTTATTTGTTGAAGCTTAACTTAGTTTTGAATAATTTTTGTCAGGTAAAAGTACAAAATAGAAATGGATTTCAGTTCTTATCCTTCTCCTTCCAACTCCCCACCACCCTATCCTTCTCCTTCCAGCTCCCCACCACCCTCTCCCCCAAACAACCACCCCAAAACCCCCCCCCCCCCCACCCCACCCAAAACAAAAATTCCTATATTTTAAAATGTAATATAGAACATAAATTTTTTTATACCTTTGAATTTAAAAAATAAAAATGATCCTAAACGAATGTATTTCTTACTATATCTAAAACCCCACATCATAATATATCTTTTCCCTTTGGAATGAAAATTGTCAAATACATCTACACAAATTTAGAATTGAAATTCCATACTAGCTAAATTAAGAGGGGAAAACTATTATCTAATACTATATAGTCTAAAAATTTGACATACGATTGTCTATAGAAAAAGACCCAAAAGTCATTAATTACTTTTATTCAGTTTGCGGTGCTATAAGATTGAAAATAAATAATATATGATTGTCATTTTGATGTTTTCCACTCTTCACATGAATGCTTATGACTGAGTGTTTTTCTACGAGAAAACTTTCTGTTAAAATGTGATCTTTGGTTTTTTTTTTTTCTTTTCCAAAAAATGATTGTTACGATGTTCTACTATATCATAAAATGAGCACGTACTCATGGTGAAATTTATTGCCAAAGATATACTATTGGTAAACTAATAAGATGAATGATTTTAAATGCAACAATTCTATTGAATTTTACAAAATATCTTAAACATGAAATTTTATTAATAGATAACTTGATTATTTATTTAACTTAAATAAATAATTTTTGACATAATAATCTCTAGATTAGGAAAATTTTAATTTTTAGTTTTTAAATTTGTATTTATTTTATTCGCATTAAGTCAGTTAATAATTAAAAAAAAACAATGGTGAAAAGAATAACGAAATTTAACAATTTAAAATTGTTGTTTTTAGTATTTTATAATATTATTTTACTGATGTTTAATTATTTTATGAACACATTTCTTGCATATTTTTGATGAATAAATACATGTATCAATATATATATATATATGTATATAAATGTAAGAAATAGAAACTAGAAACTATTGTTATATATGAAATGAAGTTTTTAGTTTTAGGTACAAAAGTGAAGAGAAAAAATACAGTTACGGTTCAAGCTAAAGAAAAATAGAAACCCTTAATGAAAAAAGTCCTATTGAAATTACCTCTCGCGACCCTCAATGGAATAAAATGAAAATAAAAAAAATATGAATAACGAATGAAGATTATATATTTATTAATCTATTGGATGGTGTGGTGGTCCGATAGCTATTAGCCGTTACATGCGTGCATGATATTTTAAGTCTTCATGTTAGCGTGACAGGTGACTGAAGTGGACCCACCTCCATATAAATTAAGTCGGTGCATTTCTAATTTTTCTTTTTAAGCTGAAGCAACTGTAATTTGCTCTCAATATATGAAAGCTGCACCTGCAGACTGGTTTCTCGACCAAAAGGTAATACAGTTTAATTTAAATAAAAAATTACTATTAAGAATAAGTTATAGCAAGCCAGAAATCCTTTATTCAAGCTGTCTACAAAAAGTTTGATAGCTTTTCTTTGAGCAAAAGAAAAAAAGTTTATAGTTAACGCTCGAAAGAATATTTGTTATAGAAATCCTAGCAAATCTTAAACGCCCTCGGCCCCTGTACGTGGACCTACCGGGGCCGGTGCCGCTTCGTGTAACACCGTCAGCATGGGACCCGTAAAGTGATCCGGCGGTGCATTACAGCTCACACATATTCGAGCTTGCTAACTAACCCCCCAAGCCATTGGATGGTCATTAATGTCACGTCCCACGGTAGCAGCGTGTCCCTTTCGGGTGCTGCGTACGGACGCATGCATTGTGGAACCTTCGAGAGTGTGGGAACCAGACTGATCATCCAACAGTTTAACCACATGAGGGGAGGAAAGAGAACAGAGCCACGAACTACTTATCGTATGAGTGACGTTTCTTAAATCTGGCCGTAAATGTCCAGAGAGTTCGCATACTGAATAGACCAAAAAAAAAAAAAAAAGGAAAACAACCGGTGGCACAGTCAACAGTTCGATTTGACGACTGTCGACATGCTAGGGTCAAATTAATAATTATAAATAATTAGCGAAGTATTAGTATATGGATTCTCATCACGTGGTATATATTGGAGTTGAAATTTCGTCCGTATGATTCATTTAAGTTTTTGGATGTGCCTAATAAACTATTAATATTTATTTCATGAAATAATTTTTTCAAAAGGTAGGAGTACAGTTCGTGTCATTTCAGTAATTTCCTCCCTACGAATTTTCTTATTCCTAAAACGAGGTGATGTTTAACATGTTCAACATTAATCATCATTTTTTTTTTGGGTCTGATTTGAAGATTTTAAGATTTTTAATCTGCAAAATAGATTGTTATTTAGCGATACACTTGGTAGGATCTTTGTTATGAACCCTACAAAAGAAAAATTGGTAGTGGTGATGAGGGGAATAGTAAAAAGAATTTACCAGCTTTTGAGAACTCTAAGTCGCAAAGAGATTAATTTTGTTCAAACTACTAATAGGGACTTGATAATTAGGTTATATGGGATTTTAAGAGTGATCTTCGATAGTTCAAATGATTTCTTGTTAGTTGATAAGGTATTTTAAAAGTATTTATTTGATATTAAGCCAATACTATAAGGTGATTTAGATTTAATAAGGTTAGTTGACATGTTTGGTTTTATGTTCGAAATTTTTTATCTTGATAGGTAGCATAAATGCACATCATATTGTTAGATAACTTATGAATTGAAGCTTAGTCGAGTTTGGAATATCTTTATAAGAGTTTGATGTAGTTCAATTTTATATAATATTATTCTAATTTTAAGATATAAAGAATATTAATTAAATGTGATATAAACATGGCGATCTCTATAGTATAATTATAGCCTTACCACTCTGATAATAAAATGTTAAGTAATCTATTTATGTAGTTAGTCCCCCACCTTAATAATAACTCAAAAAATGAACTTTACACTCTAATTAATTAGTTATCTCTTTGTCAATCAAGTTCTTATATTTGCTTCTTGATTAACTCCTGGGTGGTTCCATCTAGCTTCTTTTGTAAAGTCATGTAGTCCGGATTCACCATATACCCCAAATAATCAACAGAAACCATGCTCTTATAATACCATTGTTATACTTATATTGCTTGACAACTATTCATGAAACTAAGAGATTGTATAACGCGTACCTCTTAAAGAGTATATGTATCATACTCTATAGGCATATTTACATCATGAGTACGTGCTCCAAAAACATTTGAGATGCGAGATCTAGATTGATAATTTTATTGTTCGAGTCTAATTTTTATAAATAAAATATTTTTACATATACTTTAAGTCATTAATTCTGGTAGTTTAGAATTTGATTAAAGTTTCTTTTATTAGAACATTATTATTTTTGAATGTCACATCTTTAAACCAATGTTATTTTATAAACCAATTGATTTTGTTCACTTATATATTTATTTGATAGTTTATTAACATGTACCCTAGTCCCAATATTCTACTTACAT